GACCGTCCGTGTGTGCTCCAACAGCTCGTCTCTGCCCCACAGGTTGACGTGGGGCTTGCAGGAGCAGGGGAAAAGGGTGAGAAGGTAATGAGTGAGTCTCTGGGATGCTGGTGGTTGTATGTCCTGTGCTGTCCTCTGCTGGGCTCTGCCTGGGCACTGGGATCATGGTTCATCAAACCCCCATTGCCCAAAACAGCCCCTGTCACGTGGACTTGATGTGCACCATGGCTGGGGGGCACATGGGATCTGGGGGGCACAAGAGATCTGGAGGGCGCGTGGGCTGACACTCCTGCCCAGTGCTGGGAGAAGGGTGCGAGGGTTGGAGGTGCCTGTAGGGCTGAGGTCCCCAGAGGAGCCACCATGCTCCTGGCTCTCCAGCCCCACAGGGGTCCCACAGCAGCGTCCCACATTCTGGGTGTTCTGCTTTTACAACCCAGCTCAGGCTCAGGGCAGTTTTGCCCATGGGCTGTGCTGTGTGCTGGATGGCATCATGGTCCCCAGCCATGGCTGAGCTGGCTCCTAGCTCAGCAGTGCAGCTCGGTGAATTTCTTCAGCGACCACTCACTGGACCCCTGGGAGCTGCTCACAGCCACCTCTTTTTTCAGCCCATGCCTCTATTTTGAGACCTTTGCTATCATCCCACCCTTAAACCATGCAGCACAAGCAGAAGTGCTCAGCACAGGCCACTCTGACTACTGTGCCCTTCCCTGGCAGGGGGACCCTGGGGACCCTGGCGAGGATGGCGCGAAGGGCACTCGGGGTGATGTTGGTTCCCCTGGCCCACCAGGAGAGAGGGTAGGTGCTGGATCTCTGGTGTGGGAGGTGGTGGGACAGTTCTGCAGGTCCTGGTGTGCAGGGGGTGACTGGCAAGCACCCAGGATCTCCTCCTATCCCCCCATGCCCCACTGCTGAGTATGTCTGTCTCTTGCAGGGTGCGGAGGGTCCCCGCGGCCCCCCTGGCACACGGGTGAGTGCCTCCTTTCCCATGTGGGTTGGAGTGGGGCACTTGTGTCCTGCTCAGTTCCCATTCACAGGGGATGATGCTCACTCCTCTTTCCACCCCACAGGGTGACCCCGGGGACCGAGGCCTGCCAGGAGAGAAGGTGAGGGAA